CCACACCGTGCACATGCATGGATGCGCGAGTCATGGTGAGATATCTGGATTTAGAGGTTGCTTTTTCTTTGCACAACATGAAAGAAAGGCCAAATGAATGGGCTGTGATTTAGTTTTTTAACCAGAGGTTGAGTTCAATAATTTGTACGACCCTCGAAGGATGTTGTAAAAATTGAAAGGAAAAAGGTTCCCCACCCCTGCTGTAAATAATAATAAAAACCCTTGATTTATAACTTAACATCTCTGTCTCCTATTGATCTGAGTATATTATAAAGAACAGCCAGTTAATTGAAGGATTATAGCACAGGCCTTTGTCAGATGGTATATTACGCTGTTTTTTTTCTGCTTCGAATAGTTCTCTCTTTTTTCACCATACGTGTGTTTGCATCACTGTGTAGACTAGTTGGACAAAATCATGCTCAACTGTTCCATTACTGTGTGAACTGTTTTAGGGGTCGACTGATATATTGTTCTCCCACTTGCTGTTGGTTGCAGGTGAAAGTAGGATGACAGTTCTGTTCACATCGCTGACATTTGTCACAGTTAAATCTTGCAGGTATGCAACAAAAATGACGTTGTCACACACCAACAAGCTGGACTGCATACTTGTATTAATCTCTAAATGCATATCTGCATGTGAATGCAGAAATACACTTATCCTCGTCAGACTTCTGGGTTCCAGGGTTGAACTTTTACAGCATTGCCATTATATCCTCGTGTCTTTTATTTTGAAATATGTTCTTTGACTTCCGGTCCACCGGACTGCTTTTCTTCAATCTTCAATACAAAACGGAAAATTGAATGAAGTTGTTATCAAAAACCAAAACCAGACCGTTTTTTAATTAGATCTTCTTGTTATCCATTTTTTATTCAGACAACAAAAATGGGGAAACGGCTTTGGTTTCCCGTTTTTTCGTTTTAAATAAAAAACGTTTTTTCGTTTTAAATAAAAAACGAAAAAAGGCTGGTATTTTCGTTTTTTGGCTTTCCGTTTAAACGAGAAATCAAACTGACAAAACGTACACGAACCAAGCAGCATCGCCCATTTCACAATTATATAAATGTAAAATATTACTCAGTGGTGGTATTGTAACCATGCATATACTGTAGCTTGTGATTTCAACCACACGATTAATAAAGTTGTATCCATAAAATACATCAAATGTGTAAATAAACTAAGAGTAAATGTACTTAGTATACATTTTAACATTATTGCTATCTACCATTTAATGACCCACTGAACATTACCTTGCCTACTGTACTGTCTATTGTATTCACCATCCTGCCATTTTTATATAATCTATTATTTTTTGTTTTGCAGATAATATATTCCGTTTTTACAAGCTAATCTTCTATTGAAAGAAAGACAGCCAGAAACATTTAGTTAAGTTCTCAGTTTTCAATCCAGTGCTTCAAAAAGTTAGCGCATCCTGAATATGTTTGATTAAAGCAAGCAGCAATGTAATCAACTTAGAAAATCAATATTTGAAATGTCTAAAGCAGTACATTAAGAAGATGCTCATTCATCTCGCAACATGTTCAGGGTAGTGTTTATTTAGCTTAGCAAATATTACATACAAAGCCACTATAAACCTATTTTCCAGGATCTTCCCTGTCTTCCTAAAGTTAAGCAGGACTCTTGAACAGCTGACACTCGGTCTCAAAGTCACAGCCTTGGAGCAGCTCCCTGTAGTTCTCTTTGACGTCTTCATAGCGAGGCATGGAGGCCTGCTGGTCGCTCAACCCGGGGAAAGTCACAGGCTTCTCGTTGAGCAGCGCCTGCAGCCTCAGCTCTCCGGCTCCACAGTCGTACAGCACCAGGAGGAGGTTAGCTGCATAGGGTAACATGTGGCTGGTGCGGAAGGAGCGTTGGGTCTGTGTTGCGTAGTTACTTGAATTCAGGGATACGTTGTCCTTGAAGAAGCCCAGGAGGGTGAGCAGTGGCAGCAGAGTGTCTGCATGGCCCACCTGGACTGTGACAGCTTCAGTCAACTGCTGTCCTGACCTGACATTCACAAGGTTCAAGGTTCTTTATTGTCAAACTAACATAGCTACAGAGTAATTATGTCGTTGAAAATCTTAGGTCACAGGCCCAACAAATGGGCTTCAGAATTAAAGATATGTTCTGCTGTGACACAAGGATCTGCATCACATAAATATAAGTGTTTAGTATAAATAAAACACAAGATAATACTGACCCCTTCATCAGGCAGATCATTTGACTATAGCATCAATAGGATTGACACATCCTGCTCTCAAGTGTTGTCTTCTTAGTGCTGCAATATTTGCGTTTTGGCTGGTGCTGTGTGCATTTACTTATTAATTCAGAGAATTTGCTCAATCGCCATTTGCTATTAAAAAAAACAACGTAATAGTCTTGTGTTTAAAACATGCATGTGAATCTGAAGTTAACAGAGAAAATAAAAATAAATGGTTGTTGTGTGGCAAATTAGTTGCTGGTATTTAAAATCTATATTTTTCTTTCTAACATGAAAGCAAATTAGCTGCATTTAACAATAACTCATATTGATTTTGGTGATCCTGGCTCTGGTATTCCCTGGAATTGTATCAATACCAAATTCTGAAATATCGCATGCCAATATGGCTATAAAACAGAAAATGAAATCTTTATCTTTAAGAAATGTAGGGTGTTAGACAAGTGTTTATACCACAGTTAGATTATAGTCTATGAGTCTAAGGGCACATTTTAAACCTCTATACTAAACTATACTTTATGGGACAAGCTGAGTAAAACCAATGACCCAGATGATTATTTTTCCTAATCCAATGAATGCATTAATGTAACCTACATGTGTACGGACTGCAGGTTATTATAGCGTACTTACTTGTTCTCACTTGCTGCCTTGTTAAGTCGGTTAAACACGTCATGGAAGAGAATGCAGCTCGACTTGCTGTTAATATCATAACCGTATCCTCTTTTCCAATATTCCCTCAGGTCACTTGCATACTCTATTACCTGTTGGTGCAGATAGTATAAATGTAAACTGTAAGTGGGCGGCTTTAAAAAATATATATTTTAAGAATGATCAATTTAGCATTTTCTGAGATGACATGTTCAACTGCATGAGTAAACATGCTTTCTTTTACACATGCAGTGGTGCCAAATTATTTTCTCAATGAGTTAATGGTGTGGAAAACAAGCAATACATTTAGATTTTTTAGTGTATACTCCTTAGAAACGAGCATTAGGGAATCTAAATTATTTTTATTATGCTGAAGCTTCCGTGTATATCTGTCCCAGATCAGACCGAGCTGTTTAACCTTTTGTCTGTTAATTGTATTTTATGAATAGATTTTCATCATTGTATTCCTTCCCCCTGATTTCTTACTTTACTTTATTATATTTTTGTATGAAATTATGTAATTTATTTAGATGTGTATACGATGCATTTTCACAAGTGCACATTTTTAGTAGCATCTCATATTCATTGTGACATGTCACAGCAGGCAAAGCGTATCTTCTTGGTTGTGCACGCTGGCTCCCTGTCACACTGTCATGTCTTCTTGGGACACTTGAATGGAACAGAGCCATCAGTAATGTTGTTTGTGACACCTATGCCGTTCCTGCAATCACGAGAGCCTGTGAAAATGGTCTATTGTGCAGAGGAGCATCCTGTTTGTTCTCACAGTAATACAATACCCCATGAATAAAGGAACATGCACTTACCACATTTGATCTACATACAATCGAATGCCAATTTCTCCTACCTTTGCATCTTCCTCATCGAAAAGTTGACACCAAGGCGAGTTCACTGCCTTGATTGCAAATTCATAAGCACACAGGTAAAATGCAGCATCAGCCATATCTGCTGGAGGAGGGTGGATATAACATGTTTAGTGGTGAAAGCATGGAGGAGACTCAGCCCTTTACCAACCTGAAATGCCAGAAAAATACTTCCTTCTATACAACAAAAAAATTACAATTGCTCAGAAAGTAGTTTATCTTAATCTTAACATGGAAACATTTGAAAAGACACTTTATTATTGTATCCTTTGGAAGACTATGATACTTATTCAAGGCTATGAATAAGAGCTCACTACAACCTACACAGGCCTCAGCACTACCAAATTAGCAAACAGCTCCACCCAGTGTGGAATCTGATTATTGAAATGTTGAGAACACTAGCCTCCCTAACACTTTACAGTCTAAGTGTAAACTCTGACGTGCAATTACTGATATACAGTGTCTAATTTAAATGTGGTTTCAGCCAGTGACACAAATGTAATTCTGTAAATTGGTTTGAGTGAGCCTGTTTTGCATGTTAAATTTGTTTAATGTAAGAAATATTTAGCTGCAAGTTTTGTATGAAGGGTTCTAGACAAAAAAAGATATTGTGTTATTATTATTTGGATGATTATGATAGCACATGGGTAATTTCAAGTTATGAAAAAGGTTACACGATTTCAGAAAATATGTACACAACACTCTCAACAGTGTAGAAAAGTAGTGTTTCTGCAGATATGACCTTGTGTGATGAGACTGTACTGGACTCCGAGACGGTCTGCGATCTTCTCCGTGACCCTCCTCATCTCTGGTCCCTGCCTGAACGTGTTGATCTCTGACAGAGCTGAGGAGTTATTATCAACCTCCTGCACGTACCTGGTGCAATGGTCAAAAAACCTCATGACAGAATCATTAATTGCATGGTGAAAGTCCTGATCTGGGTAGAAAAAAGGGAAACGTTATTATGAAAATGTATGTTGCAAATCATGATACATTGTATTACAGTCATACCTGTAATCGCCCACAGCTCTGTCAGTCCTGCCTTGAAGGACAGCGTGCTGTTGACACACCTGTGCTTTGAGCTGGTTATGAATTTGATGAATCCTCCTCGGAGCTTCTCCTCTGAGATCAGAGAGGGGAACAGCTTTGACAGCCTGATGGCCAGATGCTTGTGATCCTCCACACCTTTCTGCACCAGTCTGCCGTCCATGTCCTCAGTGTACCACATCCGCCACTGGCTCTTGATTTCCCGCAGCCAGCTCTCTTTGCCCGAGGCGCTGCTCATGACCATGTTGTAGAGCTGCTGCATCTCCTTGGCGTTTTTGCTCGTCGGGTACCTCGTGCCGTGTCTTATTATCGCCGTCAGATGAAATGGTTGACATTGTGCAGATGGAGGCTGCAGGATAGATCTGTTTACAGCGAATATGTCCTTTATGAGATGCGGGTTCACTTCTTCATACCTCCCTTTTGTGTTGAAATATTTGGCGATTGATGGTATGTCAAAATTGTCCTCAGGAATTACATAATTAACTACACAGCAGGGGATGATGAGGACATGAATGACAGTGAACTTCCAAAAAAAAGTCATAATTTTCCACGCAAGAAAATGCTTAAAATGCAACTGTCCCCAAAATGTATCTAAATCCAAAACAACTGCGACAGTGTTTAAAATAGGACTGAGCAGAGTCCAGTCAACTTTGTGTCCTCACTGCAAAGTAAAGTAAACATATTATTTCACAATAGCAATTGATGACCACCGAAATGTAAATAGTAAGAATGGAAAATAAAGTCCTCGTTCAAAACTGGCTACATTTCATATTCTAATAATGATAAAATAATCTGTTTTTCTGAGTGCTGAAGAGGTATTGCACACATTTTCTAGTGGGGTTTTATAATAAACGACATGTTCTGAGCTTCAAGTTTCAAGGTTCTTTATTTAGCCATACGAACATAGCTACAGTGTAGTTATGCCGATGAAAATCTTGTGTCACAGGCTTCTCCAACTAGGGATGTCCCGATCACCTTTTTTTGCTCCTGATCCGATTCCGATCATTTGATTTTGACAATTTGCCGATACCGATTTTTCCCGATCCGATCTTTATGCAATGCATCAAGAGAAAAAAGAAAAAAAGCATTCAAGTTGTCCCTTAAGGTTATTTTTTTATTTAAATTGGATATTCTATCCAACATGGATATAGCTTCTTTTTTTCACAGCAGCATTGGATCAGTTCAGTTGTGCAGCATTGGATCAAATCAAAATAAAGCTTATCAGTACTCGTTAGCTTACTGCTACAATTAGACACTGCGCCCTGCCCACTCTGTTGCCAGATTTGAGAGAAATAAGCAACCAGGTCTATGAAACAAGCCCCAAAGAAGCAACACATACATGATGTTGTGTAATTTGAAACCAAAACTAAGGCCTCAGGATGACTTTAAGACTTGAACATGGTCATTTTTGTTTTGTAACATTGAATACAAAAAAAAAAAAGTATTAAAAAAAAAATAATAATAAATTCCCGATCCCCGATTTTTTTTCTCCCGATTCCGATCTTTTGAAAATCACGTGATCGGATCGGGACATCTCTACTCAATAACGATTGTTGTGGAGAAAGTGTTTTTTTACTAATACTAAATATTAAACAATAACAACAGAACCAAGCCCACATTGTGCACAGCGCCCATAAACTGCACATTCATCTCACTCCTGATGTTTTTCTGCTCCTTCCTGGTGTGTGTGTGTGTGTGTGTGTGTTTGTGTAGTTGAAGTTCATGGGCAGCCTGGATGTGGACCGGGTCTCTAAGATCTTCATAGAAGCTCTGAACTCCTTCATGGGCCGCAGGAAGAGCCCGCTCAGCGCTCAGATGTTCACAGATCTGTTCACCAGGTTCCCCGTGAGTACAGCGGCACATCAGTTTATTTCTTCTTTCTAAGCTGTACTGTTTGCTTCAAGTGTGAATCTATACAGAATCTAGTACAGATCACTTGTCATGGTAACAGAACACATTTTTAAAGTTACCTTATGTGATATTTCCAGGGTTTGTGTGTGAAGATGTTGGATGCCGCCGTGCAGCACATCAACTCGGGGGTCAGAGTCCACCAGCAGGTAAGAGAGATGTTCTTTCAAAGTTCACCTGTTATGAAAAATC